AAAAAAAAAAAAAAAAAAAAAAAGTATTATAGGCCAGCCACAAGTGCAAAGGAAAGCTCATAAGGATACCAGACCCTATTTACATGCTCAACCGGATCATCCGGTTGCAAGGTGTTTTGGAAATACTCACTAATAAAACGGGCAAAACTCTGTCCCTCTTAGCCCGACAAAAAACTCAAATAAAAAACGCAATTTATCAGAACCAGCTGGCCCTAGATTATTTGCTAGCAGCCAAAAAAGGAGTCTGTGAAAAATTCAATCTAACCAACTGCTGCCTGCACATAAATGACTAAGGGCAAGCAGTAAAAAGTATTGTGCAAAACATGACCAAACTAGCACACACACCTGTACAGGTGTAGCATGGATTTAACCCTAAGTCCTTAAAGGTTAGTTCTCATCCTTAGAAAAATTCAAAACCCTCATCATAAGTGTTATAATAATAATGTGTTTGTTTGTTGCTCCCTTGTCTACTCCCCGTTTCTTCAAATAATTAGAAGCTTCATTACTACTGTAGTTAGCCAAAAAATAACATCACAAGTATATTATATAAAACATTGTCAGTTTCTTCAGAAAATCTAAAAAGTAAAAATAAAAGTAAAACCTCTCACTAATATTATAAAATACTGAGAGTCTCAAAGGGGGGGATAAGAAGGGAGACCGAGGCATTTAGAATTCCCTCCCCCTCTGTCATCCACTGTGCATCTCAATAAAAAAGAAAGCAGGGGCCAGTCGCGGTGGCTCAAGCCTGTAATCCCAGCACTTTGGGAGGCCGAGGCGGGTGGATCACGAGGTCAAGAGATCTAGACCATCCTGGTCAACATGGTGAAACCTCGTCTCTACTAAAAATACAAAAAATTAGCTGGGCATGGTGGCGCGTGCCTGTAATCCCAGCTACTCAGGAGGCTGAGGCAGGAAAATTGCCTGAACCCAGGAGACGGAGGTTGCGGTGAGCCAAGATTGCGCCATTGCACTCCAGCCTGGGTAACAAGAGCGAAACTCCATCTAAAAAAAACGGAAAAAAAAAAAAAAAGTCATGATCTAAAGCAGGCCAGCTAGCCTCTCCTAAATCTCCTTCCTAAAAACAAGCTAAGCCCTAAAAAACGTCTCCAAAAAGCACTACAAATAAAGCACTATTTTTACTTAAAACAAGATCAAACCAGAAACCTTCACATGTGAGTCCTAAAACTGTAAACCAAAACCCTTTCATATGTAATTCCTAAAACTGTAAACAGAAACCTTTTCACATGTAAGTCCTAAAACTATAAACTTAAAATTCTTCCACATGAAACATCTAAAGTATAAGCCTATATAAAGGCTGAACCTCCCTTTGTTAGGGGAGCTTGGCTGTTAGGCACATATGCTACCAAGTTACCAGCTGCAAATAAATTCCTTCCTCCAGTATTCAGTGTCCGAGAAATCCTTTTCCATGGCAGCTCCTGCTACACTACATCATCCTGGATGTATAAAAAGTCAAGCCCTATCTTTGTGAGGCACTCAGCCTTGGGATACTAATCTGCTGAGCCAGTGGCCACCTTAATAAAATCCTCCTATTTCACCCATTGGTCTCTGTGCACTCCTGAATATTCTGCAACATGACCAAAGGATGTTGAGCTCTAGTCATGTTGGGGGGGCCTGGACATACTCTTCTATGTAGCACTCGCATGTCATCTGCAAATAAGGCTCCACAAACAAGTTTTCAGAAGGAGGAATTATAGACTCTCTTTACTCTGTTGCCATGTTTAGTCATGTTGTTGACATCATGAGGCCTCCTACATCTGTTATAATGCTAAGCAGTCCCAACCTCAACCTGAACCCAACTACCTATACGAGCAAATAATTTCATAGACTAGTTTTTTAATTTGTCCGATACTCTTGTGGGTAGGCTCATAGAAACACCAATACTCAACAAAGTCAACACATACCTCACCAGCATTTCCTTGCTTTCAGGTTGTTGGTATGGAAAGGAAGACGAGGTGGCACCTTCTAAGCAGAGCACTTGTATACATATATACAAAGACCAAAGAGTTCACAGTGGAGAAAGGCCTTAAGAGTGCAGCAAATATGGGAAATTATTTCACCAAAACACTGTACTCCCCATTCATGAGAGATTTCATACCGGACAAAAGCTTATGAATGCAGTCAGTGTGGAAAATCATTTCACCAATGCTCTTCACTCTTGCAGCCTCAGACACTTCACACTAAAGAAAGGCCTTATGAGTGTACTGAATGTGGAAAAGCCTTTGCTGAAAAGTCCAGTCTCGCCCACCATAGGAAAGTTCACTCTGGAGCAAAGCCTTATGAATGCAACGAAGGTGGGAAGTCTTTGCTTATATATCCAGTCTCATTAAACACAGGAGAGTTCACACTGGAGAAAGGCCAGTGTTGAGTGTGGAATGACTGCGTTGAGTGTGGAAAATCATTTCGCTGAAGCTCTGCACACTTGCACTATCAGATTTCACACTAGAGAAAAGCCTTATAAATGTAGTGAATGTGAAAAATCCTTTAGCTTAAGGTCCAACCTCATTCACTATCAGTGAGTTCATACCAAAGAAAAGCATTAGTGTGGGCAGTGTGGGAAATCCTTTGGCCGAAGTTCTAGCCTCATTAGATATCTGAGAGTTCACACTGGAGAAAGGCCTGATGAGTGCACTGAATGTAAGAAATCCTTTGCTGAAAACTCCAGCCTTATTAAACACTTGAGAGTTCACACTGGAGAAAGGCCTGATGAGTGCAGTGAATGTAGGAAATTATTTAATTAAAAATCTGCACTTTTGTAATCCCAGCTACTCAGGAGGCTGAGGCAGGAGAATTGCCTGAACCCAGGAGGCGGAGGTTGCAGTGAGCCGAGATCGCGCCATTGCACTCCAGCCTGGGTAACAAGAGAGAAACTCCGTCTCAAAAAAAAAAAAAAAAAAAAAAAAAAAAAAAAAAAAAAAATCTGCACTTCGTGTTCATCAGAGATATCATACTGGACAAAAGCCTTATGAGTGCAGAGTGTGTGGAAAATCATTTCACCAAAGCTTTTCACTCTTGCAAAATCAGAGTTCATACTAGAGAAAAGCTTTATAGGTGTAGTATATATGGGAAATTCTATACTCAAACTTCTAGCCATGCTAAACACAGGAGAGTTCATATTGGAGAAAGGCGATAAGAATGCAGTGATTGCGGAAAATCATTTCGCCAGTTCTTCACTCCTTCAACATCAGACAGTTCACGCTGGAATAAAGCCTTGTAAGTGAAGCAAATGTGGGAAATTCTCTTGCCCAGTCTTATTGCTTCTTCAAGGCCAGAGAGTTCATTCTGGATCAAGGCCTTTGAGTCTGATAAATGGGGAATATTCTTTAGCTAGAGCTCTAGCTTCTTTATATAAGGAGTGCTCCCACTGAAAAAGTGTCTTTTTAGTGCAATGAATGTGAGAAAGCCTTCAGCCCTCTCTGATTGGTTACCAGAATATTTACATGAGGAATATGCCACAGATGTGCAGGCAGTATTTTTTCTTGCTCAGTATAACACTGGAGGAGACCACTTATAAGGATGCAGTCTACCTAAATTGAATGTCATACATCAAATAGCTGCATACATCCCAGGTATGTGGGAACTGCATTGAATTTTCAACCTGCCCCTGTCCCTTGCCAGACTTATGTGACTGGCAGTTATCTTGCAAAAAGCATTTCACCCCTACAGTTTCATCATTCACCTACCTCATCATGATACAGAAGCAACTTTCTCTTTCATTCACCAGAGGGGTTTTTGAGTATCCTCAGCACTCATTCCACTCTCATTTCTTTCTCTCTGATGAGTTAGGCCATGGACCTAACCCATTTTTGGCACAGATGACTCTTCTGGTGACTTGAAAAGATGGACTACCTTTTTCAGGGATCTTTTGTATCTCACAACATTCTTAAGATGGAATTTTCTAGCCCACCAGTCACGAATCTGAGATATCCTGTGGCCCATTACCCTGGTTTGTGTTACAATAAAGGCTCTACTGCTTAAGACACCTTCAACCCTGGGAACTGTATACAGTAGCTGTATTTACTGCCTCCCGAGTAGCTGGGACTACAGGCATGTACTACCACACCCTGTTAATTTTGTATTTTTATGGCCGGGCGTGATGGCTCACGCTTGTAATCCCAGCACTTTGGGAGGCCGAGGCGGGTGGATCATGAGGTCAAGAGATCGAGACCATCCTGGTCAACATGGTGAAACCCCGTCTCTACTAAAAATACAAAAATTAGCTGGGCATGGTGGCGCATGCCTGTAGTACCAGCTACTCGGGAGGCTGAGGCAGGAGAATTGCCTGAACCCAGGAGACGGAGGTTGCGGTGAGCCGAGATCGCGCCATTGCACTCCAGCCTGGGTAACAAGAGCAAAACTCCGTCTCAAAAAAAAAAAAAAAAAAAAAAAAAATTTTTGTATTTTTAGTAGAGGCAGGGTTTCTCCATGTTGGTCAGGCTGGTCTCAAACTCCTGACCTCAGGTGACTCACCCGCCTCAGTCTCCCAAACTGCTGGGATTACAGGTGTGAGCCATCACAGCTGGCCAATAAAATGTTTTAAAATAAACAAAATTTAAAATGTAAACAAATATAGTGTAATTTCAAATCTGATCTTGATTAAATCATGAAATTATATAACATTAAAGAAAGCAGAAAATAAAATTCGAGATTTAAATAGATAGAAGTCTTGAAAATGAATCGTACTGAAAAATAAAATCCAGTGGTTACTAGGAGGGCTGGGAAGGTCAGTTCCCCCTCTACCGACACCTTTCCCTTTGCTCTTCTTCTACAGCTGTGACTGTCATGCCCTATAACCCCAATAAGTGTCAACCAAAAAAGCTACTCCTCATCTTGTACCCAGCTCTTTCTGATGTTCTAATAGCATTACCACCATGGTTGCATTTTCCCTGCTCAGTATGACCCACAGTTCCACCCTAGTTCACACAGTAACTATCATTTTTGATGACTCCCTTCTACTATGTGTCCAGCTGCGCACATAATGCCTTGACTGTTCACTCAAACATATGAGTATTCACAGGGCCCAAACTAAACTTCTGATGTCCCCACGGAAATTGCCACCAATTTCCCCATCCCAGTTACTGGAGCTTCAATTCCTGCAGTTACTAGGACCATGAAAACCTGGGGTCGGCCGGGTGCCAGGGGCTCACGCCTATAATCCCAGCACTTTGGGAGGCTGAGGTAGGCAGAACACAAGGCCAGGTGTTCAAGACCAGCCTGGTCAACACGGTGAAATCCCATTTCTACTAAAAATACAAAAATTACCCAGGCATGGTGGCAAGCGCCTGTAATCCCAGCTACTCGGGAGGCTCAGGCAGGAGAATCGCTTGAACCTGGGAGGCAGAGCTTGCAGTGAGCCAAGATCACACCATTGCACTCCAGCCTGGGCAACAAGAGCGTAACTCTGTCTCAAAATAAACAACCAACAACAACAACAAAAAAAACTTAAGATCATTACTGACGCTTCCCTCTGTCACTGCCTTACCTAAAATATGCAAAGATCTACTTGCTCCTTTGTTTAAAATATACCCAGAATGCTGCCTTTTCTCCCATCTCAGCACTCACTTGGTCCATCAACTCATCTGAATTATGCCAGCAAACTCCCCCCAAGCTACCTGCCTCCTAATTAACCCAGGAGTCTGTTCTCCAGTGTGCAACCAGATAGATCCTGTGAAGACCTGAGTTACACCACCTCTTTCCCATCCAAGCATCCTAGCAACTCCATAACAGATGCCTAGTTTTGCAGGCAACCACATTACAAGCCTAAATCTTCACCCCTGGCTTTTTGTTCCTATTAGAAAGAATGGATGCCTGCGGTACATAGTTCCAAGCTCAGTCACACCTCAAAGCATTTGCGCAAATTGATATAAATTCTTTTTTTTTTTTTTTTTGAGACGGAGTTTCACTCATGTTACCCAGGCTGGAGTGCAATGGCGCGATATCGGCTCACCGCAACCTCCGCCTCCCGGGTTCAGGCAATTCTCCTGCCTCAGCCTCCTGAGTAGCTGGGATTACAGGCACGCACCACCATGCCCAGCTAATGTTTTGTATTTTTAGTAGAGACGGGGTTTCACCATGTTGACCAGGATGGTCTCGATCTCTTGACCTCGTGATCCACCCGCCTCGGCCTCCCAAAGTGCTGGGATTACAGGCTTGAGCCACCGCGCCCAGTCAAATTCTTAAAATAGAAACCTGTTTCCATTGGTTGCCAGAAATAAGAACACTTCTATTAATCCTTAACTGACACTCAGGACTCTGAGCTTGGTGTATCCACAGGTTCCCCACTCCGAAGAACTGGGAAAACATCAAGTCAACACTCAAGACACCCCAATC